AAACTGAATTGTTCAATTTCTTGGGCCAAACCAATCGATTTCGTATTGGGCTCAAAACATGGGCAACATCATAATATGGTGGGATGAGTCATTCGAGTGAAATCCAATCTCTAAAACTACGTAATACACCAACCACTCCGTTTTAGAACAAACTTCGTACAAACCTGAGTTCTGCAATTTCTTGGACCAATTGATATCCGATTCAGCCCAAAACTTGGGCAACATCGTAATATGGTGGGAGCAGTCACTTGGTGAGTTTTGAGTGAAATCAAATATCTAAAACTACGCGATACACCAACCACTCCAATTTCTTGGACCAATCGATATCAGATTGGGCCCAAAACTTGGGGAACATCATAATATGGTGGGAGGAGTAGTTTGGGGAGTTTTGAGTGAAATCCATTCGCTAAAACAATGCAATACACCAACCACTCCATTCACAGAACGAAATTCGCACGAACCAGAATTGCCCAATTTCAGGGAACAATCGATATCGGATTGAGCCCAAAACTTGAGCAACATCATAATATGGTGGGAGGAGTCACTTCGTGAGCTTTAAGTGAAATCCAATATCTAAAACTATCCAATAAATCAATCATTCCATTTACAGTACGAAATTCGTATGAACCTGAATTGTCCAATTTCTTGGACCAATCGATATCAGACAGAGTCCAAAACTTGGGCAACATCGTAATATGGTGGGAGGAGTAATTTGGTTAGTTCTGAGTGAAATCCATTCGCTAAAACTATGCAATACACCAACCACTCCATTACAGAACGAAATTCATACAAACTTGAATTGTCCAATTTCTTGGACCAATCAATATCGAATTGAGCCCAAAACTTGGGCAACATCATAATATGGTGGGAGGAGTAATTTGGTGAGTTCTGAGTGAAATCCATTCACTAAAGCAACGCAATACCCCAACCACTCCATTCACTGAACGAACTTCGTTCGAACCTGAATTGTCCAATTTCAAGGAACAATCGATATCGGATTGAGCCCAAAGTTTGGGGAAAATCATAATATGGTGGGGAAGAGTCATTTGGTGAGTTTTGAGTGAAATCCAATTGCTAAAACTATGCAACACACAAACCACTCCATCACAGGACGAACTTCGTAAGAACCCAAATTGTCCACTTTCTTGGACCAATCGATGTCGGATTAAGCCCAAAACTTGTGCATAGTTTTGAGTGAAATCCAAATGCTAAAACTAAGCAACACACCAACCACTCCGTTACAAAATGAACTTCTTACGAAACTGAATTGTCCACTTTCTTGGACCAATCAATATCAGATTGACCCCAAAACGAGGGGAACATCATATTACGGTGGGAGGTGTCATTTGGTGAGTTTGGACTGAAATCCAACCTCTAAAACATAGTGTCATAATATAGTGGGAGGAGTCATTTGGTGAGTATGGAGTGAAATCCAATCTCTAAAACTATGCAATACACCAACCACTCCATTCACAAAACGAACTTCGTACGAACATGAATTGTCTAATTTCCAGGACCATTCGATATTAGATTGAACCCAAAACTTGGGGCACCAACATAATATGGTGGGAGGAGTTAGTTGGTGAGTTTTCAATGAAATCCAGTTGCTAAAACTATGCAAAACACAAACCCCTCCATTAGAGAATGAACTTCATACGAACCTGAATTGTTCCATTTCTTGGACCAATAGATACCGGAGTGGGCCAAAAACTTGGATAGCATCATAATATGGTGGGAGGAGTCATTTGGAGAGTTTTGAGCAAAATTCAATCGCTAAAACTATGCAATACACCTACCAATCCATTACAGTACGAACTTCGTACAATTGTGAATTGTCCGATTTTTGGGACCAATCAATATCGGATTGAACCCAAAACTTGGGCAACGTCATAATATGGTGGGACAAGAAATTTGGTGAGCTTTGCATGAAATCCAATTGCTAAAACTATGTAATACAAAAACCGCTCCATTAGAGAATGAACTTCGTACGAACCTGAATTGTTCAATTTCTTGGACCAATCGATATCAGATTGGGCCCAAAACTTGGGCAACATCATAATACGGTGGGAGGAGTCATTTCGAATGTTTTGAGGGAAATCCGACTGCTAAAACTATGCAATACGCCAACCACTTCATTACAGAACGAAAATCGTACGTACCTGAAGTGGCCAATTTCAGGGACCAATAGATACTGGATTAAGCGCAAAACTTGGGCAGCGTCATAATATGGTGGAAGGAGTCATTCGGTGAGTTCTGACAGAAATCCAATCGCTAGAACTAAGCAATAAACCAACCCCTCCATTTATAGAACGAAAATCGTATGAAGTTGAATTGTCCAATTTCAGGGACCAATCAATATTGGATGGAGCCCAATACTTGGGGCAACACCATAACATGCTGGGAGGAGTGATTTGGTGAGTTTTGAGTGAAATCCAATCGCTAAAACAATGCAATACACAAACCACTCTATTTCAAGACGAACTTCGTATGAATTTGAATTGTCCAATTTCCTAGACCAATCGTCACCAGATTGACCTCAAAATATGGGCAACATGATAATATGGTGGAAGAAGTCATTTGGTGCGTTTTGAGTGAAATCAAATTCCTAAAACTATGCAATACACAAACCACTCCATTACAGAACGAACTTCGTACGAACCTGAATTATCCAATTTCTTGGTCCAATCGATATCGGTTTGAATCCAAAACTTGGGCAACGTCATAATATGTTGGGAGGAGTGATTTTGTGAGTTTTGAGTGAAATTCAATCTCTAAAGCTACTCAATACGCCAACCACTCAATTACATAACGAAAATCGTACAAACCTAAGTTGTCCAATTTCTTGGACCAATTGAAATCAGATTGAGCCCAAAACATGGGGAACATCGTAAGATGGTGGGAGGAGACATTTGGTGAGTTTTGAGTGAAATCCAATGGCTAAAACTACGCAATACGCCAACCACTCCATTACATAACAAACTTCGTACGAACCTGAATTGTGAAATTTCTTGGACCAATAGATATTGCATTGAGCCCAAAACTTGGGGAACATCATAATACGATGGGAGGAGTCATTTCGTGAGTTTTGAATGAAATCCAATATCTAAAACTATGTAATACACCAGCCACACCATTACATAACGACAATCATACGAACCTGAATTGGCCAATTTCTTGAACCAACTGATGTCGGATTGAGCCCAAAACTTGGGCAACGTCAAAATATGATGGGAGTCGTCATTTGGTGAGTTTTGAGTGAAATCCAATCTACAAAGCTGTGCAATACACCAACCACTCCATTTATAGTACAAACATCATACGAACCTGAATTGTCCAATTTCTTGGACCAATCGATATCGGATTGAGCCCAAAACTTGGGCAACATCATAATATGGTGGGAGGAGTCATTTGGTGAGTTTTGAGTCAAATCCAATCTCTAAAACTATGAAATACATCAACCACTCCACTTTAGAACGAACTTCATACGAACCTAAATTGTCCAATTTCTTGGACCAATCAATATCAGATTTAGCCCAAAACTTGGGCAACATCATAATATGGTGGGTGCAGTCATTTGGTGAGTATAAATCTCTAAAACTATGCAATACATCAACCACTCCATTTTAGAACGAACTTCATACGAACCTAAATTGTCCAATTTCATGGAACAATCCATATTGGACTGAGCCCAAAACGTGGGCAACGTCATAAAATGGTGCGAGTAGTCATTTGGTGAGTTTTGAGTGAAATCAAAATACTAAAACTATGCATTACACCAACCACTCCATTATAGAACGAACTTTGTACAAACCTAAACTGTCCAATCTCTTGGACCAATCGATATCGAATTCAGCCCAAAACTTGAGCAACATCTTAATATGATCGGAGGAGACATTTGGTGAGTTTTGAGTGAAATCCAATCTCTAAAACTATGCAATACATCAAACACTCCATTTTAGAATGAACTTCGTACGAACCTGAATTGTCCAATTTCTTAGACTAATCGATACCGGATTGAGCCAAAAACTTGGATAGCATCATAGTATGGTGGGAGGAGCCATTTGGATAGTTTTGAGTGAAATTCAACAGCTAAAACTGTGCAATACACCAACCACTCCATTTACATTACGAACCTGAATTGTCCAATTTCTTGGACCAATCGATATTGGATTGAGCTCAAAACTTAGGGAATATCATAACAGGATGGGAGGATTCATTTCGTGAGTTTTGAGTGAAATCCAACAGCTAAAACTATGCCACCAACCACGCAATTTACAGTGCGAAATTCGTACAAACCAAAATTGTCCAATTTCTTGAACCAATCAATATCTTATTGAGCCCAAAACTTGGGCAACATAACAATATCATTAAGACTATGCAATACACCAACTACTCCATTTACAGAATGAACATCGTACAAACTTGAATTGTCTAATTTCTTTGACCAATCGATATGAGATTGAGGCCAAAACTGGGGCAACATCATAATATGGTGGGAGGAGTGAATTGGTGAGTTTTGAGTGAAATCCAATCGCTAAAACTATGCAGTACACCAACCACTCCATTAACTGAATGAACTTTGTACGAACTTGAAGAATCCAATTCCTTTGGCCAGTCGAGATCGAATTGAGCCCAAAACTTGGGCAACATCATAATACGGTGGGAGGAGAAATTTAGTGAGTTCTGAGTGAAATCCAATCACTTAAACTCTATAATACACCAACCACTCCTTTCACAGAACGAACTTCGTACGAACATGAATTGTCAAATTTCAGGGACTACCCAATATCGGATTGTGCCCAAAATTTGTGGCAACATCATAATTTGGAGGGAGTAGTCATTTGGTGAGTTTTGAGTGAAAATCAAATGCTAAAACTTTGCGATACACCAACCACCCCATTACAGAATGAATTTCCCACGAACCTGAATTGTCCGACTTTTGGGACTAATAGATGACGGATTGAGCCCAAAACTTGGGCAACATCATAATATCCAATTGCTAAAACTATGCAATACACAAACCGCTCCATTAGTGAACGAACTTCGCACCTAGAGAAATCACTTTCCTATTCTCCAACTCCTTCCTTTGCTTCCATGTCATATGAGAAGAACCTGCGATGCAAAAGTTTGACGTGAAAAAGCAGACTAAAACTAGCTTTAATACAACTGAAAAGGCACACATTCAAACATATGAAGTTGTTCTATCTTATTACTTATATAATAAGTTCAATGCACAAATCATGAAGATTGATATCTCATTAATACTTTCCTATTTTATATATATATATATATATATGGGCAGATCAATGACACTATGTTTTTTACACAAGTGTTTTTTACACAAATTGTAATCAAGTATAACTTTATTTCCCAGCTCATGAAATATCTCACGCACAACCTAATATGGTTGAATCCAATTTCCCCACATCCTAATTAAGCAAGGTGTAGCAGGTTATTATAAATTAAGACATATTTTACTCATCACATCATGGCTTTTCTACTGTAAGACCTCTTCCTAAGAATCTTCCAAAATATAAATATGATTTTGCAGATATTGACACATTCTCTCAAGAAGGAAAACTTTAGCAATACTATCTATTGTTTCACAAAGATACAAAAAAAAAAAAAAAATCTCTTCACTTCCCGGTAATAATAAATACCAACAATTAGTACAGATGATTATGAGAAAAAACCTCCATGATAACAGGTGAACTGGTAAATAGCACCCCTTCATACTGTAATTAAATCTTGATCATTCATAGGGTAAAGGAGTTTTCCCTCATGCTTTAAATTTTGGTAACACTATATCCATTTTGAACTGAACAACGATGCAATTGCAGTTTTCTCAACTAACTATTTACTAGAATATAACCATGCCTCAAGTTTAATAGTGGCACCTCAAAGGTTCCAAATCTTCACTGCACCTTGATACCAATGAGACCATGGATTTCAGAATCCAAATTCAGTTGTTAATGAACCCTAATTAGACAGGACTGTACGTAAATTTAGCAGAATCAAGTTCAAACTCATGAAAGATCCCTCCAACCTTTTGAATTCTAGTGCATCTAACCATGTATGACATATTCCATAACCTCTTGATTAATAGCTCTTATGAAACGTCTTTGGTGCACTCTAACTCTCCAACTAGAGCATCTCGAGTCTAGTCAAATTTTTGATTTGTAGTTTGATTAAACTAAGACTTTATGTCCATCAAATGCCATGATATACTTGCAAATCAAGAATGCAGTCCTGGACATGCAACAGAACTTGATTAAGCGAGAAACTAGCTCCATTTTCACATGGTTAAGAGACTGTTGCCATATAAGCAAACATATACTTCACTCTGTTAAGTGTCAATGCTGATTTCCTGATTCAATGACAATCTCAAATAAGCTCGAAATACAATCCATTCACTTCTAACACATATCCATAATCACAGCAAGGAGAACGTAAGTTCATCAAGAAGTTTGAAACTGATTTCAAGATACAGCTGACAATCTAAAACTGGTGCAATGTACTTTTTGACACTACAGTTTCTTAAGTAATTCAGGTCATCCAAGCCCGAAACTGACCAACATAATCACTATATGCCAATCCTTTACAAACTAGTATGTCTGCGCCATGTAGGACCAACCTAGTTTCATTCATCCTTAAGCCATTCATTACAACTAATTTCTCATATTATGCTGGTTGATTTTACAAGAAGGAAGATGCAAAATAATATCAGTTTAGAATAATTAATTCAAATTTTTTATCAGTTTTCACAATATACTTCATATTATCATTGTATCAGCAAGAATCACAAAATTAAGAGCATAGTAAAACAAACAGAGCTACCAATAGGGTTACAGGTGGTTTTTTCGGTTGATAACCTTCCATTAAGACAACAAAAGAAATTGGATGAATCAGGAATGTGAAAAACAAGAGACAAATACGCATACCCAAAAGCTCAATCTGTTTCAAAATCTTCCTCATGTCCATTTTTTGGATCTCGGTGGCAATTTCTTGGTTATCAGTGTCCATGTTTTGGTCCTTCCTATCCATTTGTCTCGTAGAGGGTCTCCCTTTGTTTCTTCCCTTATGCATTTTTTGGACTTCTTCGAACAATTTGAAGGAACAAAGTACTGCACAATTTTGTAAAACCCAATAACCTGCCAGGGAGAAACACAGCCCTCAGACACCTTCACATTTCGTTTTCTCAACGGAAAACCACAAATTAAAATTAAAATTATATGAAATACCTCATCCACTTTACCAGCCTACAGGATGAAGCACGAATTTGAAATAAATAAATAGAAAAAATAACCTCAACCACTTCCACCAAACGAACCACGGAAGGTGAAGCACAATTTTAAAAAATTTATTAAAAAAAAATGAAAGATGACAGAATGTGATTCCACTCTGTATGTTTTGATCAAAATAGAACAATCAAACATACAGAAAAACAAAACAAAACAAAACAAAACAAAACAAAAAACAAACAAACCCAGGCAACTAATAGGAAGATAAGAAAATCATTAGGAAAGAGAGGGAGTGGAGGGGAACAAAAGTGAATGCCAAAATCACCTACCCAAGAAAAACTTTAAAGTTAAAACCTCTGAAAAGAAAAAATGAAAAGAAGAAGAAGCTTTTGTTGCAATAATATTTGACACACCAGATAACCATACAGAAATAAGTACATATAAAGTACAGAAAGAAAGAGACAACCCTAATCATTTGAAAAGGAATCCGGTCTTGCATCAAGTAGAGGAAGGATTCAATTTAAAAAAAAAAAAATCAAACACCAAAATACCCCTAGGAAGGAACACTTACAATCAATCCAATCTCTCAACAGAAGAGAGTCACGCTGAGCAATACAAATGTGTTTCTCTATGATAAAACGTCACCTTATCTACTCTAGGACAATAAATTAAACTACCCTTCCAGCCTACAAGCTCCTGTTTTGATTTGAATAAAGAAATACAAATAAATAAAGAATTGCAAGAACAACAATCTATTAGGGTGTTAAATACTGAAAAGGGCACTGCAATTTGCACCAACTATTTTCATTACTCAAATATTTTCTTGTTTTCAGAGAGCACAAACATAAGAACTAACAAACGAAAATTCTATTAATGTTCCTATTTTTCTGGATTCAAAACAATAGATATAAGTATACTTCTGCAATACACACCAAAAAAAAAACCAAAAAGAAGAAGAAAAAGAGATGAAATACAGGAACGAGCTTACTTACAATTAGAAGCTGAGCTAGGCTGAGCTGAGCTGAGCTAGAGCTATTCGGAATGCCAAAGAGAAAAGAGATACAAAGATTGAGGTCAGGTCACTGAAGCAGACTTCAATTTTGTTTCAGGAAATTTGGTGTTTTGGGGAAAAAGATGCCCATTATGGCGTTGCTGTAGGAAAAAAATAAAAAAATAAAAAAGCAAACGACGCCGTTTTTAGCAGGGGTGGGTACGGTCCGGTTTGGACCAGTTTTCTTAAAATAATAGAATCTGAATCGAAAATGAAGACCAGTTCGGTTTGGACCGATTTTGTTAAAAATTCATACGTAAATCCAAATCAACCCGGACTTGTCCGGTTTCGATTCGGTTCTTGTGGTTCCGGTTTGGGCCTAGCCCAAAATTTTATTTTATAATGTTTTTACAGACCGGCTCAAAATGTTATTATATTACTGACCTACCCCAAATTTGAACTTCCAACAAGCTTTCAACACATCAAAATGAATCCAACTTCAACAAAATATAAATTACAATATAAATTCAATCCAACTTCAGCAACATATAAATTACAACCCAAATTCAATCCAAATATATATTACAACCCAAATTCAATCCAATTATTAAACAATCCAATTAAACATTTTATAATCCAACTAAACAAAACAAAACACATTATGCAATCCAATTAAACATTATCATGGCAAACAAGCAACTGCACTTCATATACAAAGACCAAGTTCATATATGCAGCAATTAAATTTTGAGTTAATAGAAATATTATACAAAGACCAAGTTCAAATCTAAAATTTGCATTCATGGCAAACAAGCAACTGCACTTCATATAATTTCACTTCACAGGAAATATTTTCAACATATGGAGCCACGACACTGTTTATGTTTTTGCTCCTATTGTTTCTTTCTGGTATGGTATTTTAATATTTATTTAATATTACAATGGGAATGTTTCGATGACAAAGTAATATTTGGTCAATCAAATATTATAAATTCCATTTTGTAGAAGCAAGTCTAAAGTCAAATTTCATATTATTAATTTCATTATACAACCAATTAGTTATTGATTTAGAGATTCTTTCCCCGAAAACACAAGCCAATTAATCAATATGAATCAATTTGATAAATTTCTAGGGCTACTATTTTATTTTAATCAAACCTAAATCAATTTGAAAAGCACCCTAAATCAATTTGAACCACAATCCTGAATCAATTTGAAAAACACCCAGGGCAAACAACAGACAACAACAAAGCCAAGAACCACAAGCCGGATTCAAAATTTACAATCATGTGCTTAACCCTCCTCATCTTTTCTCAGAATCACAAACCAATTCACAAATGATGTGTGATTTGAACAATGCAACTGTCTAGATCACAATATATGAATCAAATTAAAAAAGCCTTCAATTCAATAAAGTTTGTACAGCAGCTAAATAAAATGAAGAGGTGGCTGCGAACTGCTGTGCTAAATCTGCGAATTGCAGACAGATAGAGTTAGCCAGAGATTCGAAGGGGTAAAAGAAAAAAAAAGAACAATCTGACCTGTGACGGCGACGACTGAGAGAGGTGGCGGCTCAGAGAGAAGCAGAGGCTGAGAGAGACACTGGTTGACAGAGGGGCAGTTGAGAGAGAGGTTTGCCTGAAAGGAGGTTTTCCTGAGGGAGCGCTTCGGCGGAGCGACGTGGATACGGGAGAAAGAGAATGACTAAGAGAGGTTTGGCGCAGACAGAGCCTCTGTCATAGAAGTTTTTGCGGTTGAAGGAGAGAGGAACGAAATTGGAGGAGGGAGGAAGAAAGAGAAAACCTAATTGGGTTATAATTTTTAGCAACACTTTCCTTTCTCAAAATGAAAAATCAAGTTTGGTCTTTGAAATAGAGCAGCTTATTCTTATTATTTATTAGGGTGGTCATTCCCACATCGAATCATCCAAAACCCTATTTCAAACCCTAAACCCAGTCCCCTGCCTGAGACATTACTCTCTCTCTGAAGTTCTCAACCCCTCAAAACTTGTTCACTCATTAACAATGGCGAACGAGGATTACAACGACATGAATATGGGGTTTTCTCTCTGCCTCCCTTTTTAAACTGTGGTGGTTTCCGTGTTTTGTGTATATGAATTTGACTGCAGGTATGAAGATGAGCCACCAGAGCCAAAAATTGAAGTGAGCTTTTCTTTTTGTTTTGCTAGTTCGCGTATCTTAATATGAAAGAGAGAGTTTTTGAAGAAGAATAATGGAATAATGGACAGGAAGGTGCAGAGGAGGATGTGGAGAATATTAACAATGATGATCATCCAGGAGACGCCATTGAAGCTGAAGACAAACAGGAGCAAGCACAGGTGGAACGACCTCGGAAAACCTCAAAATTTATTGTTTGTGCAAATAATCTCACGAGAGAATATTCGCTTCTAGATCCTTCAACCTTCGATCTTCCTTCTCTCTCTTCCTCGATTCCTATAAAACAGATTGGAGTAAATAGACCACACCCGGGGGGTGTTGGCCAAAGGCCCTCCGATGCCTAAGTTAGTTCGAGTGTTTGTAGGAAAACAATAGCTAAGCAAAGGGTACGGAGTAGTGTTTATGTAGGGTGTGAACTGGGCGGCCAGAGCCGTGTGTGGTGGCCGGAGCCGTGTGGAGAAAATATGGAGAGTGGAGAGGAAGAAAGAGAGAGCTTCGGGTATTAGGAGTAGGTTTAGATGTACCTTGAATGGTGAATGAAGTCATCTATTTATAGGAGCCTCGGGGCTAGGGTTTCGTAGAGAATATGCTGAGTTTATTCTCTACCCAAATTCGTAGGGATCGAGTCGGACTGAGATAATATCTGATTTAATGATATTATCTCTTTTGATGGAGATAATATCTTAATTAAATGATATCTTCGGAAGGCCACCTTCGGCACCCCATTGACCGAAGCCCCAAAAAAAAAAAAAAAAAAAAAAAAAAAAAAAAAAAAAAAAAAAAAAAAAAAAAAAAAAAAAAAAAAAAAAAAAAAAAAAAAAAAAAAAAAAAAAAAAAAAAAAAAAAAAAAAAAAAAAAAAAAAAAGAGGTGTCTTCTAGTTCCCAACCTTGGGGGACTAGGGGACTACCTTCAGCCCCCGCCACGCCGACACGCTTGGTTGAATTACACAAACTCTTCACAAGTTCCCAAACCATAAGCCACTTCTTGATTGACAACTTAGGGGACTTCGAAGCTCCGAACTGCCAAACCTTCAACACAGGAGACACGTGTCATCATCACAGCAACTTGCACAAAGTCCCACATCGGAACTTTGTGCAAACCTCCTACTTTTACTTCCCTATAAATAGGAACAGTAACCAAGAAATAGGGTAACTTCTCTCTCTCACTATTACTGTTACTTTGCAAAAGTCACTACCCCTAGCTGACTCAGGCATCGGAGAGCCTTCGGCCGGCACCACACCGGTGTCCGAAGCTTAACGACTGCTTCTCCTATCTTTGTCTTCTGCAGGTTAGCCCTCTACTGAATGCTTCTCCTATCTTTGTCTTCTGCAGGTTAGCCATCTACTGAAGGCCCAGACCCTTCTCTTGCTAAGGACAATCCCCTATCTCTAAGTTGACCATCTCCGAAAAAGAGCATCAACAGCAATTGCTTCAACCTTTGAAAGAGTAAAAACCAATTGGCGTCGATCCTGAAACACGAACATGACCAAACACATTTCTAAACCCGCACTAGCTTTCCAGCAGTTAAAAACTGAGCTGTGAAAATTAAGTTTCCAAAAAGGAGGATCAGGGATTTTTCATTTAATGTTATACAAGGTGGTGGGATGGTTCCTTTTTAATCCTTAGATTTTAAGGTAAAGGAGTTATGATGATTCCAAAAGTCCAGTAAAAGTTATTTTGTATGGAGAAAACAATTTGACATCAGGTAATATGGAGGAAAAAAATATACCGGTTTCTTTGAACCCAAATTTGCCAGCAAACAGTCAGTTTTTTTTCACAATCAGGTGAGGTAGACTCTTAACAATATTAATGCCTACAGGAATATTTAGCTTAAGAAAGGGTGAAAGGTGAGAACAGATTTGTTGGGCAAAATGTCACTCCAAACAGAGATGGTTAAAAAGTTCGTCACTTTGATTACAGATGGGAGACATCTGATGTCCATGAAATTGGCTAACTTTTTCTGTAGTATTTAGCCAATTCTGTAGAAACGGCTGGCAACGATCTTAACTTCGGGAGGTACAGCCAATTTTCAAATAGAAAAGGAAAAACAATGAAAGAGAAAAAGCGACTATACAAAATCTTCCCATAATGTATAGTGACACATGTAAACAGTTCATTACCATCATGTTCAAAGTAACATTTTAGATTCAAGGAAATCATGCCAGTCTGGTGCTCAACCAAATGCTGCAATGAGGAAACCCTTATAAATGCTCTCATGAACTTGGCCACGAACGCTGAGAAATAAAATAAAAATCGCCGGTGAGAAACACAATTAGAGATCCATGACCACTTCTTATAATGCACCATTTATGAGCACAAGCCAAAGAGGAAGCTGTAATTCCATAAACTAAATAAAATATGATGACCAGAAAAATAACTTCACACATACTATTATAGATTCATGTGAAGAAAAAAGTGTAAAGACATGACAAGTGTGAGGAAGAAAGGAGAAAGAAAAAGAAAATTGCGAAAAATGATCATGTCGAATCCCAGTACCCATCACGTTCGGAGTGTACGTTAGCCCATATCAAAAAGTCGAAGTAGCCAAAAGTCAAGAAATAATAATCCTCATCATTATTTCACCCAACATCTAGAAACATGAAAGTACCTTCAAGGTGAAATATAGCTTTCTGCCCAAGACGCATCCTACGTTCCTGTAAAATAGAGAAATGAAACTCCAATGTAAAAATATTTACAGTAATCAAATACTGACTTTAATAAACTATTTCTAAGCTGAGCCACAAGCTTATATTCCGTCTGACAACAAAACCTGCTAGTCTGCTACTCATAATGCGTTCATCACATTAACAAGATAAAGCTGATGAAATTTGTCTACTGCCAGATTTCTGATGCGACTCAGTAACCTTATAGTCTCTTTATCCAAATTGCTCAATTGTGCTTCTGATGCGACTCAGGTCAACAACGGCCTGCTGGTCACTCTTTTCATGCAATTAATTCAATCATAAGTTACAAAAGGTGACACTATAAGAGAACAGTATGATCCTGCAAATACATATTCTATTTTATGCTACATGGCACCCATGCATGCTGCCATGAATTTCACAAGGCTTGGCCATCTTTTTGCTTCCAAGATATTCCTTTTTTTACCTCCCACTTTCATGCTTTCTAGATATACAACAGTTTCACATTTGTAGATGAAAGACTGACCAAATCAGGACATCATAGGAGGTTAGACATCAAGTGATGGCAAAATGAGTACGTCTCACAAGATTAATCCAACAAGCATATGTACAGAAGCTATGTCAAATTTGGCTACGTTGCAATATTCTACTTCACGGCCAGAAAGAGAAGCCATAACTATCTACTTAGTCTGCTTGAAGATGAGACATTGAGACTGACAAAGATCTAATGGCAGATTAGCATTCAGTAACACGTTGAAAAGAAGAGAAAGGGTGAGGATGGGTAATACATACATCAAGACATCAAGATACCACAAAGTCAAGGCATGTGGCAACGTAGTTATGTTACGGATAACTGAGAAGTACAAGCATATTGCACTCCAGATGGACAAAAAGAAATTTAATGGCAAGACATAGTCTCCGGATGGACAAGAAACTCATCATAATAATTATACCAAAAGGATTAGCCCTAATTCTTTGATGAAGACACCCAAAAAAGAGGGTAATTTTACTACTTTTTCTACACTATATCCACTTCCTCCATCCTATCATCAAAACCTATTAGTCTTTTTTCAGAAAAATAATCCACATAAGATCCAATATCACAGACCGTCAAAAGAGTAAATGCCTTTTCGCTGCCCCATATCAAAGTAATATTGCAAAACCCACATCACTCGTAGCACATTCAAAACCAAGCCCAATTTTGCGTTGTGAAGTGGATATGTACTACCAGGTTACGAAGAGATCAATAAATGGCTTCTCAATCTATCAAATTGGTTGAAGACACCACAAAAGAAACAGAAAAACAAATACAAGAAACAAGCAACAAACATCACTAGACCACAACTTGCCAATCCAGCATAAAGAAGAAAAAGAAATCTCTCAAAAGTCAAAAGTAACCGATGCCCAAAAAGATAGCCAGACTTTGACTCTATCCCAAGGTGATGACCCGAAGAAATATCTATTTTAAAGACATAGCTACTACCCTACCCAACATTAGAAGATAGACCTGAAATAAGAGCAACTCCACCGGTGAGCTGAGCCCAAGGCTGGAGGGGGGGGAATGACGTTCCAGCGAGGAGCCCAGGCCCGGGTTGGGAGTGGGACCCACGAAGACGGGCTGGCCCTCAGGTCAATTCAGCCCGAGCTCAAGCCCGAAGGTTGATGATGTCATGCGCGACGTCATCGCGCGGGTTTGAATTTTTTTTACTGTGTGTATGAATTTCTTTTACCGTGTATAGATTACTGTGTTAAACGTCGCTAGGTATAATATAACCGACGTGTATATGATTTTGTTTTCTTTAAATTGAGGTTTTTTTTCACGAGTTCTTTCATTTTCAGATTTCAATTAGGGTTCCAACTTCTTCTTGTCATTGGCTCTGTCTTACCTCTTAGGAGATAATTGTTTGGATGTTGATGTGTGTGTGTGTTTATGTATCAGAAAGACACAAACACACACACATCATCAACTTCCAAAAAATTGTCTATCTGAATGCAAATCTGTGGCTGCCGTCATCAAATTTTAGAGGCAATTGTTTGGATGTTGATGTGTGTGTGCGTTTGTGTATATGAAAGACACAAACATACACACATCATCAACTTCTAAAAAATTGTCTATCTGAATGCAAGTCTGTCGCTACCGTCGTCAAATTTTATAGGCAAATTTTTGGATGTTGATGTGTGTGTGCCTTTGTGTATCTCAAAGACACAAAGATACACACATCATCAACGTCTAAAATATTGTCTTTCTCTCACATTGGTGGTCCGATTATGATGAGGAACAAAGTTCCATCTGGTAAGATTTCGTAACTCTTGGGATCTCAGAAAAATCTGATTCTCTCGGTAGTTTTCTATATAAACCGTCGTTGTTATTCTCAATTCTTGTCATTAAGTTGATCAACTGACGTAGGAAACCAAAATCCTATAAATAAATTGGAAAAAAAAAATACTATTAAGACGACGGTTTAGATATAAGGTGAGATGTATAAAGTGAATAAATACAACGGTAATTTTAACTTCACGACGTATCTCTTGGGATCTCAGAAAAATCTGATTCTGTCAGCGGTTTTCTATATAAACCGTCGTGGTTATTCTCAATTCTTGTCATTTATTTATCTTTACCGTCGTTGTACATTTATTTTATACAGCAGTTTTTTGTAATATATCGCCGTGGATTCTTTTGAAATTATACGGCGCTGGATATGAAAACTTGGTCATGTTTATTACGGAGTAAAAACGGCGGCTGTTTCTTTACACCGTCGTCTTTACTTTCTACGTCAATGGATTCATACCTTATGCCGTTGTTTGTGGGCTCGGAGTTTACTCTGAGGAAAACGTTTTTCAATAAGACGTCGTTTTTTAATTAGGTGTGTCATTTTTTAGAAACACCCTTTGGAATCTCTATTTTTTAGGTGTTTAAGTTAATCATACAGTCATCTTTTCAAACACAATGACGGTTTTCCGTTGAACTGTCGTTATTTTTTGGTCGTCTTTTTCACTTTTTGTAGTAGTGAAAGGAAAAGAAGTTATGAATTTGGTTTTTTATTTCATCTTTTTTATATACATCAATGTTACTATATATGTTGACAACATTGTCAAATGTGAATTGGATGGTATTTTATTAAAATACTTTGTTGTCTTTCTGCATTTACTTTTTTAATGTTAGCCAATGGATACTTAAGTTAACATAAGCTATTTTTCAGTTCCTAAAGTGTAACCAAGTCTGAGAACAATGACCAGAATGGCCACGAGAAGTTACTCTTCTGGGGTAACAGAATTGATTGCCTTAGAAAGCACTGCGAATCCTATGAAGGTCTGGGCCACCAGGAGTCTAGCCTCCGGTGTGCTCTTGAAGAGGCCATGTTCCTTCAAAGGTATTTTATGTCATGTTTTGGATTATTAGATTTCTTTTTGTTTTGTACTTTTGTTTTTATTTCTGTTTTTGGAGTTTATGCTATGTGTGGTTGCTGAGAAAAATATGGGAAAACTGAGAGTTGTGGAAATTTGGATCTATTATGACAAGAATTAGTTTAATGGGTTATGAATAGGAATAAGTTCATCATAGTTAGTACAGAACTACTCACCCAACTTTACTGCTGTTGTTTACAGAACCTTTGTAATGCCTTCCATAATGTGTATCAACCCAATACATAATAAGAAAGGGATCCTCCATCGCTCAAACACTGCAAATTCAAAAGAAATGTAAGTTATTTTGTTTTGAACTTCTTTATTGGGTTTCAAGATATATTTTTCTTTTGGCCTGCCGAAGAATTCCACTGCTACTTTTTGCGTTAAATGGCATTAATTCCCTGTTTCAAGTTTGTAATCTCCAAAAAATAATTGGGACGTGATAGGTTTAGATGTGTACTTTTCCCTCCATAGTGATTGTAAATACATATTTATTAATCACAATGCACATAACATACAGTGTGAACTGGCTTCCTTTTACTTGTTAGTTGGGCAGCAAAGTGTTGTTCCATGGACTCTTTGTATGATATGGACCTCATATCAAATACTGTACCAGTAATTTTAGACAATTCAAAACTGTGGTATCATTTGCTAACAACAAGTATGAAGTTGGGAGCTAGAGGAGTTGCTCATGTGGAACGAGTTAGTCATGCTGATCTCAAAGAGAACAGTTATTTCTCAAATCTTTTGCTAATAAACGGAACTGAAAGCCCTCTTTCATGGTAATTTTTTTTTTTCATTTATTGCTGAAAGCTTTAAGATTTAATTTCTTAGCACTGCACTTTGTAATTTCATATCCATATTAAAGCTACTCATAAAAGGTACTATGAACTTCTGACTTCACCTTTGTCTATAGGTTGTGAAAACGTGAAATATGTGCACTGGTTACAAAAGGAACTCTAACTAAGGGAGAGATGCTGTCAGCAAACCTTGTTACTTCTTATCTAATGGCAGTGACTGAAAACTCTTACATGTATTTTTGTTACTGGTATTTTGCTTATAGACAAGTATGGATCACATGTGGGGTTGGAAAATTTGTGATTTATGGAAGTGTTGGATATATATATTTGATGTATGGATATATTTAAATTTATATATGTTTTATCATATGCAATGGAAAACACTACATGATATTGTTCATAACAATCTCAATTTTGCACAAAGAACAAAAGTTAAAAAATTAAAATAACAACAGCACTCATAAGAAAATTGATGCTAAAACTATGCAATACACCAACCACTCCATTTACAGCACGACCTTTGTACGAATTTCAAGTGTCGAATTGCATAAACCTAGTGAATTCGGATCGAGCCCAAAACTTGGGGAACAACATAATATGGTGGGAGGAGTCATTTGGTGAGTCTTGAGTGAAATCTAGTCGCTAAAACCATGCAATACACCAAACACACCATTTACAGTACGAACTTGAAGTATCGAATTTTATTGACCTATTGACTTCGGATCGAGCCCAAAACTTGGGCAACATCATAATATGGTGGGAGGGGTCATTTGGAGAGTTTTGAGTGAAATCCAATGGCTAAAACTATGCAATACACCAACCATTTCATTTACAAACGAACTTCGTATGAACTTTCAGTGTCCAATTTCGTTGACCTTCTAAATTCGAATCGAGCCCAAAACTTGGGGAACAACATAATATGGCGGAATGAGTCATTTAGTGAGTTTTGAGTGAAATCCAATCGCTAAAACTATGAAATATAGCAACCACTCCATTTATAGTACGAACTTCGTACGAACTTGAAGTGTCGAATTTCATTGACCTGTTGACTTCGGATCGAGCCCAAAACTTGGGCAACATCATAATACGGCGGGAGGAGTCATTTGTGAGTTTTGAGTGAAATCCAATCACTAAAACTATGGAATACAACAACCACTCCATCTATAGTATGAACCTCGTACGAACTTGAAGTGTCGAATTTCATTAACCTACTGAATTCAGATCGAGCCCAAAACTTGGGTAACACCATAATATGGTGTTGAGTGAAATCCAATTGCTAAAACTATGCAATACACCAACCACACCATTTACAGTACGAACTTCATACGAACTTGAAGTGTCTAATTTCGTTGACTTTGTGAATTCGAATCGAGCTCAAAACTTGTACAACATCATAATATGGCGGGATGAGTCATTTGTTGTGTTTTGAGTGAAATCCAATGCTAAAACTATGCAATACACCAACCATTCCAGTTACGAATGAAGTTCGTACGAACTTGTAGTGTGCAATTTCCTCAACCTATTGATTTTAGATCGACTCCACAACTTGGGTAATATCATAATATGGCGGGATAAGTCATTTGGTGAGTTTTGAGTGAAATCAAATCGCAAAAACTATGTAATAGATCAACCACTCCATTTACGAACGAATTTCGTACAACCTTGAAGTGTCCAATTTCTATGACCTATTGATTTCGGATCAAGCCCAAAACTTGGGCAACATCATAATATGGCGGGAGGAGTCATTTGCTGAGTTTTGATTGAAATCCAATCGCTAAAACTATCCAATACACCAACCAACCCATTTACGAATGAACTTCGTACTCAGTTGCAATGTCCAATTTCTTTGTCCTATTGATTTCGGATCCTCTCCAAAACTTGGCCAACATGGTAATATTGTGGGAGTAGTCATTTGGTGTGTTTTGAGCGAAATCCAATAGCTAAAATTATGCAGTACACCAACCAATCCATTTACAGTATGAACTTGAAGTGTCAAATTGCATTGACCTAGTGAATTTGGATTGACCCCAAAACTTTGGGAACAACATAATATGGTGGGAGGAGTTATTTAGTGAGTGTTGAACGAAATCCAGTTGCTAAAACCACTCCATTTACAGACGAATTTCGTACGACCTTTAAGTGTCCAATTTCTATGACCCATTGATTTCAGATTGAGCCCAAAACTTGGGCAACAACATAATATGACAGAAGGAGTCATTTGGTGAGTTTTGAGCGAAATCCAAACGCTAAAACTATGCAATACACCAACCACTCCATTTACAAACGAATTTCGTATGACCTTTAAGTGTCCAATTTCGATGACCCATTGATTTCAGATCGAGCCCAACAACATAATATGGCTGGAGGAGTCATTTGGTGAGTTTTGAGCAAAATCCAAACGCTAAAACTATGCAATACACCAACCACTCCATTTACAAACGAACTTCGTACGAACTTTCAGTGTCCAATTTCGTTGACCTTGTGAATTCGGATCGAGCCCAAAACTTGAGGAACATCATAACATGGCGAGAGGAGTCATTTAGTGAGTTTTGAGTGAAATCCATTTGCTAAAACTATGTAATACAGCAACCACTCCATTTACAGTACGAACTTCGTACGAACTTGAATTGTTGAATTTCATTGACCCATTGACTTTGAATTGAGCCCAAAACTTGGGCAACATCATAATATGGCGGGAGGAATCATTTAGTGAGTTTTGAGTGAAATCTAATTGCTAAAACTATGCAATACACCAACCACTCCATTCACGAACGAATTTCAAATGAACTTGAAGACTCAAATTTCTTTGACCTATTGATTTCGAATCGAGCCCAAAACTTGGTAACATCTTAATATGGCAGGATGAGTCATTTGGTGAGTTTCGAGTGAAATCCAATTGCTAAAACTATGCAATACACCAACCACTCTATTTACGAATGAGTTTCATACGAACTTGAAGTGTCCAATTTCTTCGACCTATTGATTTCGGATCAACTCCAAAATTTGGGCAACATGGTAATATTGTGGTAGGAGTCATTTGGTGTGTTTTGAGTGAAATCCAATCACTAGAACTACGCAATACACTAACCACTCCATTTACGAACGAACTTCGTACGAACTTGAAGTGTCCAATTTTCTTTGACCTATTGATTTCGGATCGACTCCAAAACTTGGGCAACATCATAATCTATGCAATACACCAACCACTCCATTTAGGAACGAACTTCGTACGAACTTGAAGTGTCCAATTTTCTTTGACCTATTGATTTCGGAACAAGCCCAAAACTTGAGCAACATGATAATGTGGCGAGAGGAATCATTTGGTGAGTTTTGACTGTAAACCAATCGCTATAATTGTGGAATACACCAACCACTCCATTTAGGAACGAACTTCGTACGAACTTGAAGTGTTCAATTTTGTTCACTTATTGATTTCGGATCGACTCCAAAACTTGGGCAACATTGAAATATTGTGGGAGGAATCATTTGGTGTGCCTTGAGTGAAATCCAATCGCTAAAACTATGCAACACACCAAACACTCCAATTACAGTACGAACTTCGTACGAACTTGAAGTGTCGAATTTGATTGACCTATTGAATTCGGATCGAGCCCAAAACTTGAGCAACATCACAACATGGTGGGAGGAGCCATTTGGTGGGTTTTGAGTGAAATCTAATTGCTAAAACTATGCAACACACCAATCTCTCCATTTACGGAACGACCTTCGTTTGAACTTGAAGTGTCCAATTTCTTGACCTATTGAATTTGAATCAAGCCCAAAATTGGGCAACATCGTAATATGACGGGAGGAGTCGTTTGGTGAGTTTTGAGTGAAATCCAATCGCTAAAACTATGCAATACTCCAACCATTCCAGTTAAAAATGAACTTCGTACGAACTTGGGCAACATCATAATATTCTGGGAGGAGTCATTTGGCGTGTTTTGAGTGAAATTCAATCGCTAAAACTATGCAATACACCAACCAATCCATTTACAGTATGAACTTCATACAAACTTGAAGTGTCGAATTGCATTGACCTAGTGAATTTGGATCGAGCTCAAAACTTAGGGAACATCATAACATGGCGGGAGGAATCATTTGGTGAATTTTGAGTGAAATCCAGTTGCTAAAACTATGAGATATACCAACCACTCCATTTACAAACGAACTTCGTATGAACTTTAAGCGTCCAATTTCTTTGACCTATTGATTTCGGATGAAGCCAAAAACTTGGGCAACATCATAATATGGCGGGAGGAGCCAATTCGTGGGTTTTGTGTGAAATCCAATCGCTAAAACTATGCAATACACCAACCACTGCATTTATGAACGAATTTCGTACGAACTTGAAGTGTCCAACTTCCTTCACCTATTGATTTTGGATCGAGCCCTAAACTTGGGCAACAACATAATATGGCGGGAGAAGTCATGTGGTGAGTTTTGAGCGAAATCTCATCGCAAAAACTATGCAATACACTAACCACTCCATTTACAAACGAATTTCGTACGAACTTAAAGTGTCCAATTTGTTTGACCTATTGATTTCGAATCGAGGGCAAAACTTGGGCAACATCATAATATGGCTGGATGAGTCATTTGGTGAGTTTTGAGTGAAATCCAATCATTAAAACTATGCAATACAAAAGCCACTCCATTTACGAACGAACTTCGTAACTTGAAGTGTCAAATTTCTTCGCCAACATCGTAATATGGCCGGAGGAATCATTTGGAAAGTTTTGAATGAAATTCAATCACTAAACCAATGCAATACACCGACCCTTCATGTTACAATACGAACTTCATACGAAGTTGAAGTGTCGAATTTCATTGACCTATTGACTTTGGATCGATCCCAAAACTTCAGCAACATCGTCTTATTATTGTGGGAGGAGTCATTTGGTGTGTTTTGAGTAAAATTCAATTGCTAAAACTATGTAATACACCAATCACTCCATTTACAGTATGAACTTCATACGAACTTGA